AATGCAGATAAAGTTTTGCGACTTAATCACCTGATTGTGGATTGTGTAGTTAGTAAATTCCATAGCCATACTGTCCATAGCGCCCACTAAAGTATGTGCTGATGGAGCATTTTGGGGATATTGACTCTCATTTTTTCCCATCCCAAACAAAATATAATTAATAAATCAACATGGTCCATCTGAGTCATCATAGTCAGTCACAAAATTAGGCTAGGAAGTTTGTTTTCAACAGCAGACACACCGTAACACTACACCAACGAGTGCGTCAAAACGAGTGTTGTTTGTTAATTTTTAGTGATAACGTCGTAGAATAACTGACTTTTTTTCGTCCGCTGTTGCAAAAAAAGAAAACGACAGATAGTTCTTTAAGGTCCTTAAAATCTTACTGATTTTAAATCAATTAGCCTAGCCTAGATTTTAACTAGCTAGGTTCGCCCCTCGTTCATTTAGAGACAGAATTATACCCCGACGACAACGAACTAGTGTAGGCCTAGGCCGAACAGTAGGACGTACTACAGGTACTAGGCCTATAGCCCTAGGCTTTTCTTGTAAAAGTTAAAGTGCATGTACAAAATGCGCCATTGGCCTGTATTAAAAAAAAACAAAAAAAAAAAAAACATTTGTTAATTATTATTGGTTGGCCTGGGACCTGGGCAGGCAGGCTAGGCTAGCTTTACCGTCGAATGTCCTGGAATTTGACGATGACGTCAGTGCACGTTTGCAAACGCCATTGATTAGAATGAAAATAGACGCGCTGAATTTCGGGGTTTTTTTAATGAAAGATAGAATTTATCAAACATTTATCTATATAAAAACAAGATTAATATTGTAGAAATTATATTTCTAAAGATGCATATAATTCATATTTCATTTGGTAGACAATAAATATTCAGGAAGATATACTATTATATATTATTATTACTAAAAACGATTATTAATTCTAAAATGTGCATCAAATCTCAGCTATTATTAATCAGTATGTATTATGTTATAAAGTCTTAAAATAATAATTTCGAATTAGGCCTAGTATATAACAAATAATTGTATTAAAGTTTAGGTTCTCATGATGTCAGATGCCGTATTGTATATGAGGCTATATTTTGGGCTCTGACTTAATTTAATGATGGCCCTGTCAGTAGTAATAACAATATTTGTACTTTTTTAGCCATGTAGTAAAATAGTACTATTATTTTCAGTGTACAAAATGAGAGTCAAGAAGAAGTAGCAGAAGAAGAAGAATAGGAAGAGGAAGAGGAGGAAGAAGAAAAGCTTTTTTTTTTGTTTTATAATAATAAATGTGTTGAGTATATTGATGTTGAGTATGCGATGAGGCTTTTTTTTATATTTTTCTGTGTTATTTAAACATGCCAGTTCTCACAAAATATATTCTAATTTTATTATATTACCATCTTTTAATTACATAGATCTTTTTTCAAAACATAACATTATATAGACCCATTAAACACAAAAACTACTCTGGCTTCGGGAGCTTTTCCCCCGACCCCACCGTGGACCTTAGGCAGGCCCCTGTACCCCACGCCCAGAGAACCCCCTCGAAATGACCTGGCTACGGGCCTGCGACCAGGGGAGAAATTACTCAACGAACTATTTTACACCCCAAGCGCTTTGAGACTTTTTAAAGCACTATATAAATTTTGAACATTACATTATATTATGATGAATGCTGATGACAATATGATATCGTAATAACAGGCCTAATGATGATGGCAGTGTTGCTGATCATAATGATGATAAATGCTGCTAATTATTTTAGTCACAGTGATGGTGCATGATTATAATGCTGATGATCCTGCAGAAAATAATGACATAAATAAAGGAAGATTAACGATTACACAAAATAATGTTTTGTAAAAAGTTCCTACCGTCAAGTCAGCGTCTTTCACATCTAAATCACTGTAGGCCTATCAGTTTAGTGCAGGTTCAATTAGTTTTACTCTTCACACCCAGTTAAACTTGTCTACTTCAATAATTTTATTAAGCAGAAAATCACTAGGCCTTGCCTTTCCGAACTGTTCGAATATCGGAAGAGAAGTGAAGTCGAGAGCGCATCGAACAGAAATATAATCTTATACGATCTTCAAAGAACGAACGTCCAATATTCCGGCGGAGCGGCGCGGTCACTGATTACAGTCGATATGTTATTGCGCAGCCTTTTGAGCATCACTACAGTGTTTTGCGGATTATTTCAATTTTCCACATCTGCAAAACTAATGACAACTCCCAGTTACTTCAGCACTAGATGTACATGTAGCTACCGATATTCACAACTTACTCAACTGATAGAAAGACAGTGAAACCATGAAACGGGTGTAACTTATATGTCAGTCCCACCAACGTGGTTGTGGAAACGCTCTGATCAGTAATTGTCACTTCGACTCTGATAATAAGGATATCATCGGGTTGAACGTATTAAAACACCCATGGTTAATGCATCGACAAAGATCCACTGTGGATTTAGTTAAGACAACCAACCACAACTTAGAATTACGATTTATGAATACTAGTAAATGAACTAGGTGAGCCCAGCGTTTGCAGTATGTTTACCAATTACATTCTTTGCTCCACTGTTGGAAGATTAATTTTCCTAATAGTGTCAATACGTGTGTTCAGTACATACGAATCAATACAATCATGATGCGTAGGAGTGAAACATACGGCAATATATAGTACATTTATATTGAACTTACGTAATGTGTATAGATGCCGGCCTTTCATTGAAAAGCGTTAGCCTAGCAAAGTTTTCTAATAATGTGTCCTAAGTACATCATGGAGGTATTCCTGCGATAATAAAGCGAAGATAAGTGTTCTTGATAATAAAGGGCGCCTGCGAACGGATTTGTCCATTGGTTAAGATGTACTTTGGCAATGTTATATTACAATTACTTTCACTGAAAGCAGCTATAATCCAGAGAATAATATTGATATTAAACGCCAAGGATATTCGGTTATGAGAATATATATTTAGATACACAATAGATACGTGTCATACGCGACATCTCCATAATTATGACTTAACGGAAAATATATGATTGATGTTCACAATCAATAGATACTCTTTAACCCTCGATTCCTCGCTAGACAGGCCTACAGTACTTACTTAATAATGTCTTGGCTCATATTTATTTCTTATTCAACCTTGGGCGAGGCCTACTAGACTATCACTCAACCAGTTAATTGTATGTTTCTGAGTCGTTAGAGCCTACTAGTTAATCACGAAGTCATTCTTCTTTTACCTCCAAGTGCTATACAGTTTGTATATGTAAACTGTAGTTGTAGATGGCTCACCCATAAAATATGAGATTAAAACTGCATTATCAAATTATTATTCAGCGTCGCACAATCGCGAAAGCTGGTTGTAAGGCAGACGAAACTCGGGTGCGACGTTGCAATAGGGAGCTTCCGATTTGCGCCACGACGTAACCCTAGAACGGATTCAGTCATCCGTGGCCTTTCTGCATCCTCACAACGCAGATTCCGGCCAAACTGCCTCCTAGAAATTCGGACGACAACGTGGATTCAACGTTCTTGCATGATGCGCAGATGACTTTATGTGGTGTCATTACGTTTTAAGCTATGTCTACACTATCAAATATTTGGGTGTAATATGACATCATCATGCCCATATATGGGCACATCACACACATTTGTCACGTAAAATTTGATAGTGTGGACATAGCTTTAGGTTCTACCGTCGTAGTGCAATCGAAAGCTTCCTATAATGGCCGGCTAAATAGTGGGCATAGGTTACAGGATCCATTAAGTCTAGATGGTTAGATGGGCTAGCCTAGGCATGTGGTTTCCTCTCCTTAAGTTTAATTATGGCTATGCCTAGGCCTAGTACTGGTAAGTTATGGTTGTTGTCTGAATTCTAGGACGCAGTGCGGCCGCTCCTGTATCTACTGTATGTTGCAGTACGCAGAACGGTTACGGATCAGTGAACCATGTCCTAAGATCACGTAGTACAAATCGAAATCTCCCTCGTAAGTGTTTTTATTACTACACGTTTATAAAAATGTATAGGATTAGGCTTACTCTTATTACCAACAATGACCTCTACATTTGCCTGTTATATTTTATCTACTGAAGGGAAAGTGTATCCCGAAGTTTATTTGCAGATACAATATGCCTCTTACCAGTGTACCGTATGCATGTCCATAAAATAATATTTAATTGAATTATGAATATTTTTAAACTTAAAATGCTTCAAGCGCAATTATATCAATAAAATTCAAAGTGAATCAAATAACTCATCAAAAATTTAAAACAGATTATAAGGTTACAATTGAGTAATATATAACTGCATTAAATATCATATAATCAAAGTACAATGCCGTTTAGCAATAACACCTAGTAAAATTGAGCATATAAAGTAGAGCCTCATCGCTGCATAAAAACATGCTAACCGAATGGAAGCGCACTCTGTTACATGTTCTCTGTGTTAGATAACGTTATAATGCAAGTTTTTAAAATTCATGTAGGCCTACTATAAATATAGGCCTATATATTAATTAGCTGAACATTCAGTGACTTACTGCTATTAAATACAATTTGCTCGTATAATATATATATATATATATATATATATATATGTATATATACATATGTATATATGTATGTATATATGTATGGATGTCTTGGTTTATCGTGCATATTATTCATATTTCTAATGAATAATCTGTGTGGTATGGATAACAAATTGTGAGCACGATATAGTGTTTAAGATAGTATAATACATACTCCAAGTATCGAAATGCACGCCATCGTGTGCACGATGGCGTGCATTTCGATACTGTGGAGTATGTATTATTCTATCTTATCTAAGATTAATCAGTGGACCTTTCGATATAGTGTTTACAAAGCCAAGTCACGTGTGGTAATCGTAGATGGCGATATGTTGGGCCTTGAGCGTCATAAGGAACGAATCCATACGGTACATCATCTACATCGAATGCCTATCAAAGATTTAAGCTTTCTCTCCTTACATGTTACAGAAACATTTTTTCAATAACCAACCCGTTTTCAACCCGTTGTGGATAGATTCAAACGTCGAGACATTCCAAATAAAATTCTTTCCGGAATTATCTACATGGTGTACGGTACCTCAAACGTTTAACACATTATTACTTCGTCATGAAAACCTTCAAGCAATTAAATATCAAAAATAAAATTGATAGGCATAAAATCATTTTGGAAAATATGTTGTAGTAAAATATCAATCAAAATTAGAGTTATCAGCATAAGAATTCTAAGAATGGGATGAAAATGTAGGCCTATTTAAAAAATCAAAATAAGAATATAATTAATAATATGAATCAATAAATAGCATTACCACGAATTAAACAGGGAAGAAAAATACAGTAACAAGTTCAAAATGAAGTCAGTATTGTTTTAAAGGACATAGTTATAACTTTCACATTCTTGGAAATTATTTCTCACATCCTAGTTGTTTCATAAATTAACTCCATTTATCACGCTGTCTTCTAGTTTATGGTTTCTGAAAAGTGAGATGCAATGGGAAGACCAAGTATACTTTCAGCTTAATGGACCTTAAAATGCTCTGTGAAGTAATCGGCTACACACATAATGGTTTCACTAATAAATTAGGTAGCATTTTTATATATAAAGTATCTACTGTATGTATGTTACATATATGCCTTTAAGGTAAGCGACTATGCACGAAGATATGTACTTCGTCTTTTATTTACATATATCATAACATAAAACATACAAGTACATTAAAAAGGGAAAAAATACATTTCTAAAGGCATATTTCAATTTCACAATCTCTCAATGAGCAAGAAAAAATAATAATTACAATGTTTAAATTTCAACTTAAAAAAAAAAAAAGAAAGAAAAGGAGAAAAAAAAACACCATTCCCTGTATAATCCTTTAGTTATAATTATATTTTTGTAATTTTTTAATCATAATAATTTAATAATTTGAATTATATTTTATTATTATCTTCCATCTTTATGTGACGAGCATTAAATTCACTAATTTAAAAAATATTAAAAACTACATCCACTATTAATCAATTTTAAATCAAGTGGTAGTATAAATCAAAAAATATAAATCTTGAAATGATTTTCAAATCTATAATTCTTTCTTTTAGTTAGTACCGACGGGTACTTTAAAATGATTCCATTTTTAACAAAAGAAAGGTGGAAACTTCATAATTTACAATTTATCAATCGCCAACGAACTGTTCTTACAAAAAATATTCAATAACCCGTGTCGAGCCGAAGTTATAGTATCTAACACGTGTAACCGATGTAACAATCATACCAAAACAACATTATAAAAAAAAAATAAAAAAAAAAAAAAAAAAAAAAAAAAAAAAAAAAAAAAAATTCACATAGTAAAAAACAACATGTAACAATTATAATAAATGAAATATAATATTGAAATATATAACAATCGTAAATTGTTGTACTACTTCAGATTCCTGTAGTTTATGACCATTTGCCTGCGTGATAAAAACGGAGGATGATAATTGAGGAGAGGGCTTGTTTATGACTGGAATTGACGCCATTCGTCTGACAGAAAATGCGGGAAAGAACATGTTTGCAGACAATCCTTCTGTCAATAACAGCATATTATCTTATCCCTGCAACACGAACTATTATGGAAGAGAAGTAGGCCTAGTATAGTATCCTGGATGATTTATTAGTTCATCTGTAATCATGATTATGTTTGAGCTCTCAGATCTTTTAATTATCAAACAATTCTACAGACATAAATTACGGTTTATACTCTCCTGTCTCAAAGAACAATAATTCTAAAAGTCTATTTGTAAAAATGTGGATTCAACTAAACGTTAAGTGTGGAATCTTGAATAAAAAACATACAATATGTTTTATATTTTTTAACTTTTTTTTTTCTAGTACATTATATTGAAACAATGAAACAAAGAGACACTTTAGTGATGAATAAATCGAGAGGGTGGGTGGAAAAATTGAAAAAGCATAGAAACCTGAGTACGCAAAATGTAAATAATTGGGACAAAAACACAGCAACACATTTAAGTGCAGAACGTTTATTCGTGCCTGGTTCATAAATCTATTGTTAGAAACTAAATAGAAATATATATAACACGATAAGCCTACTTTAAACTACAAAACATTTGCTCTATGATGTCATCATTATGATATCAAATAATTATTTGAAATGTGATTAGTAAATGATTTACGCATTACGCGCTATGTCCATATTATTTTTTCCTGTAATTTTCATTCTTATACAACGATGATATGACAATACAATAATAAAAGTTTAAACGTAGGCATTGGT